ATATAGTTCTTGTGTGTATTCTTTTATTTATATCGACCTTCAGCTTATTATTATTGTAAAATAAAACGATGCAGGTGAAAGAAAATTTTGTTTTATTGACACAACAAAAAAAGAAAGAAACATTCATTTTTCATTTTGTTAATGAAAAAAAAATCGAATGCAGTCAAAATTTGGCTTTGCTCTTTCGAGTCAACTGTTCATATTCGGATAGAATATAAGACAATAAAAAAAATAATGAATTTTAAACCGTCACTGTCTATAGTAATGTAACCAAGGGTGTGTTAATCTGACAATGGTTCTGCCATTAGTCGCCTTCTTTATGCCAACAGAGTAAAAAATACGTAATAATTACTGTCATTGACACTATACTACATAGGTTTTCTCCAAGATCATACAACACACTCCTATCATTCATGATCCTCTGGTTATTCTACTAACTATATAATTGTATATCAATATGGAATTGAAAAAAAATACAATATTGATGGTGAATTATATCGTGAGACTAATAGATATTGAACCTTATTCAAGATTTATTCATATATCTAAGTATCAAATGTCAACGGGATTTTATTATTTTTTCAATAAGAACTATTCAACTGATTTTAAGCAACTCGTAAAACAAAATAATAAAAAGAATCTTTATATACATGTCTTTATCTTAAAAACGTTCTTTTACTGCCGTTAACAATGTGAACAATCGTACTATACGAATATCTAAGTCTTCTGTAAAAAGAAACAGACAATAGTACTAAAATTTTATGACCATTATATTCTTATTCTTTGTCATTGTGTGCATTTTGTATGCTTCCTCTTTTTTTCTCAGACATGTACAATATTGTTCAAGTAGTACTCTTTTATGACATCATGAGATGAGATATGCGTATATAATGGATGACGTAACTGAATGTTTGATGCTCTTGTTAATGGGATCGAGTTGGCAAGTGGTAAGAATAGAAATTGGTCAGGTATCAAGAATCATGCTTTTTTTCTTTCTCTTTTTTCTCAAACATTAAATACGTCATTTAAATTTTTGTGATCACACTTCAAATTCGGAAGCATGCATGTGTATATATATATGTGCGTCTGTTGTTAGATCGAACGAAAAAGTCAATAGGAAAAATATGAACGAGCAACATGTACATCATACGTAGGTAAATAATTTGCTTGAGTGCCATGACGACAGAATAAGTGATGAATCATTAGAATGAAATACGAAAGAAAAGTAGATTCTTTATTTGTTTTAATTACAATTATGAATGAAATTAATTCAAGTTAATTTACAGGTATGTAATTATGAAAGTAAGGAAAAGAAAAACAAGCATCTATGTATAGACTATTTTGATCGCTGTTCTTGTGAAGAGGTTTATTTTTCTGTTAGACTAAATCGAAAAACTTGTTTGGAGAATATAACACGACTCGGTAATCTAGTCACAGCAGTAAACTTAAAGCATAAGACTGTTTTTTGTTAGATTTCACTCGCTTGTTTTTATTCTTCCTGTAATCGTATTCTCCAGTCGCACTCTCGTGTGTTTCGAGGTGATGTTTTTCACTTTCTTTAGATTTTTATTCAACAGAGCTTTTAATAAATATATTCCTTGTGTAAATTCATACTATTTCATAATAAAAAAAAAATATTTTTCATCAAGGTATTTTATTTTCTGTTTTTGTTTTATGTATTTATAAATATTCTATTATGTCTTTTTTTGTTTATCTTTTTATTATATATATTTATATATTAGATTTTTTGATGTCATCGAAAAATATTATCATTATCGAGCAGTGGTTTGAATAGGTAAGAAATATTTATATTAATAAATCAAAACAAATTAAGAAGACTTTCATTTTTTTATTTCTGCAAATATGTAACATTTTTTTGTGTATATAATTCCTTGTTTACTGATATAGTTTTCTTTATTGTCTGCGAGTCATTGTACGTAAATCACAATTGACTTCCGATATAGTTGTTAATTCGAAAGCTTTTTTATTTGGATGAGAATGATCTCATCTTATAAAATAAATTTTTGGACTTGATAAATGATATGATAATCAGATTATAAATACTCATAATACATTTTACTTGTTTTACATATTTTTTTTTTGTTAATGATTTATTTTGAGATATTTTTACAATATGTTCTTGTCACTATGAATGAAAGTTCTAAAAATTTTACCATATATACATGCTAAAATAGGTAATCCAACTATTTTATCCAATAATATTCATGTGGTGACTAAGTTTCACTGAAATGTTCACTTCAGTTCTGCTCTTCATCTTATATATAACAACTATATCATACTTCACTGTTTTAGCAGTTTTATATTTTCTGTTTATGCTACAAAAATGATTCAGCCTTTTCACATAACAATAGAAATCAAAGATCCGTAATGTCACCGTTTAGGTATCATTTCTATATTTGGATGACATTGCTAAGGAAAAAGTAAAGGATGAATTATTCACAAACCGTTTGATATACCCTTGTTCCAAATTGTTATGACTGTTCCTCATGCTCGAGTAATCTCTTGAGTTTTTCTCATATTTTGAGTGATATATCCAGAGTGGAAGAAAAAAGAAAGTTGTTATTTCAACCTTTGATCAATCAATTCTTTAGCTTTTATTGAATACTAATGATGCTGAAATAATCGTCTTAATTCTTCACACAACAGTAAAGATCATGGCTATGCAATGTTCACTCTTATATAATTGATACATATTTTTTATGGTATGTCAATACCAAATGACAAGAGCAAAAAATTTTTTAAAAACTTCAAGCTAGTAAATCTGTAACTCTTGATTAGTGTTTCTTATGCTCTGAAAATCATATTGATTATGCAAATAGAGGTTTTTTTTATCGTAATTCCACATTGTATCTATTGGACCTGTATATGGATATAGTTGTGAGGTATACTATACTTATTATAATCTTTTTTTTAATTTTAAATCAAAGCCATTTATAAAGTATTATTCAAAATTCAGTTTATTATCGAACGATATATAAATTGATTATTGAATCCTGTGTAGATGATGTCAAAAGTTACTAATTCTGATCTCGCTGTTATTCTTTCCTGAAGATCACAATAGTATCCATTTGATGGAACACCTGATTAAGGTGAATGTTTGATTCATGAAACTGAGACTTATAGAAATTACTACTAACTTTGACTTCTAGAACTGCTGAAATTATCATGTCAAACAAACTTTATTTTGTAATAAAACTGAATGATCTGCAATCACATTTTATCTTATACTATATAGAAGAAAGTTTTATTTTGTGATAACCTTTGTCGGCTCAAACTTTTGATTGAATGTTGAAGTAACACTAATTTAGTAGTCTTTAGGAGAAAAGCTAAAGCAAATTCTATCACAATAATCTGAAAAAAGGCTATCAAAATAATAGATTACTTTTGAGCCTAATATACATATATGTGTCAGGCAGAATTGAGTTTTAGGCAAAATTAAATATAGTTTTCAACGAGTATCATTTCTAGTTAATTTGAAAAAATTTCAATAAATAATGGAAATTGAACTAAGTTTTGGAAGACGTAGAGCTCGCAAGTTGTACTCAATAGAAATTGAACTAAAGTTTTGGAAGATGTAGAGTTCGCGAGTTGTATTCAATAGAAATTGAAATTAGTTGGGAGGAATATATAGTTCGGAGGTAATAAGAAGTCGTAATGAGCATCANTTTTTTTCATTTCTCCTTTACTTAGGTTTGGCTGTTTTATTTTCTTTAGCCGAAACAACTAATATTTGTTCTATTGATTTTAATCATGTGATTTGTTCTGTTTACTTTAAAAAAAAAAGGAGAAATAAATAAATTTATTTCATCAATGTGTTTGAAAACGTGACTATTGTTTGAGAATATCTAATCGAAATAAGAGAAAAAAAAATGTAACTTCTAAAATATTTAAGAAAGTACAGATCTTTAATTAACATGTCTCTTAATTATTCATCATTTTTATAAGTATCAAATGATAATCAGAAATAATTTTTGTCAAAACTTGATGAGCAAGGTCAATCAAGATTAAATTCGAAAAAAATAAATATATTCAAAATACTTTCATTTATTCGGTTACTCTTTATACATTCTCTGTGATTTTATATCAGATTTCTTTACTAGATCAACCTCCCATTTTCTTTTTTGTGTTGATGTCAGGTCTAATATTGATTTTCAAAGGAGGAAGAAAATGTTCTCTATTGACATAAAAGTTTATTCTTAAGAACAAAATTAAACGAGATCACTGTTTCTATAATAACTAACGGCATGTTATGTTGAATAGTTTTTGTTGCATATGTACTTCTCTATGTCACTTACAATTATAATGAAAAAAAAAATTTCTTCATATGAAAGAGGAAGACAAGAAAAGAGACAGAGCAAAAGAGCAAAAAAGAGAAAGAAAAGAATTTATGATATGTAAGATATTCATTATGAATATAATGCAATTCAGATCACAAACTTATGAACTTTCATCGAAATAATAACATGCGATAATTTCAATGCAAAATGTTAAAAGTATGATTTAAAAAAAAAAAAAAGAAATGTTGTTGTTGTCATTTCATGATATGTTTGTGTTTTCTTTTTTAAAAGAATACCTGAACAACCCAGAGAAAAGGGAAGAAGAATAAGAAACACTTGAAAAACGAAGAGTAGCAGACTGTTGAAATCGATATATACTCAACTTATTTTAAAAGCAGTAAGAGTCTTGCTACTTCTTTTGTCATGCGCAAAATAATACAGAACAGAAAAGCATGGGCGTAAGTCACCTCTGAAGACAGAAGAACATAGGGCGTGTAGAGGAGCCTAGGGGAATGTAGAGAATTTTTAACATAGAAAATTGCCCAAAATAGGGAGCTGCGTCGTTAAATTTTTAAAGCAGGGGGTGTAACTCTCCACCCGTCCCTTCCCTGTTTACGTCCCTACAAAATAGCTACTGAAAAACAAAATAGAACTTCTAGAAAAAAACAAAAACTTAGTATGATGAAAATTAACTTTTAATTCATGGTTCGAATGATAAATTAAATCTTACATAAAATATCTTTATTTTTTTTTTATTTAGAATCCAAGCACACCATCAAATAGAAAGCCATCTCGACTACCTCTTTCATCGCCGAATAATAATCGTCTTACAAATAACATTCGTGGTCCATCATGGTGGTTATCATTAATATTTTTACTTATATCTACTGTTATTGGTTTTCAAAGTGGTCTTGTTTTTCTTTGTAATGTTAAACGTTGTATAACTGATGATTTATCTTCTCAACATGAATCAAATAATTTAGTAAATAATAATCGAACAAATTCCCTACTTGTTGCATCTATTAATTTACCACGTGTATCAAAGAAAAAACAATTAATTCTTATTGCTGTTATGACAAGTAAAGATTTTTTAACAACACGTGCACCAACTGTTATGCGTACATGGGCAGAAAAAGTACCTGGTCAAGTTATATTTTTTTCAAGTGAAGGTTCAACAACAAATGATACACGTATTAATCTTGTTAGTTTACCATCCGTTACAGATACATATCCACCACAGAAAAAATCTTTTCTTATGATGAAATATATTTATGATCATTATTTAAATAAATTTGAATGGTTTATGCGTGTCGATGATGATGTTTATATACGAACAGATAATTTAGAAAAATTACTTCGTTCAATAGATAATCGTAATTTTTTTCTTTTTAATTGCTTTCTTTTTATTTTAATAAAAAAAACATCTTTTTTTTTTGTATTTAAGGTAAACCATATTATATTGGTCAACCAGGTGTGGGAACAAAAGAAGAATTTGGAAAATTAGCTTTAGCTGAAAATGAAAACTTTTGTATGGGTGGACCTGGTATAATATTTTCACGTGAAACTTTAGCACGTTTTACTCCACACATTAAAAAATGTTTAAAAAATTTTTATACTTATCATGAAGATGTTGAACTTGGTCGATGTGTACATAAATATGCAAATACTTCATGTACATGGTCATATGAAATGCAACACATTTTATATAATCATCCAAATAAAACTGATGGTTATCGAGCATCAAATCTTGTATCTACAGATATTTTACGTGCTGTTAGTCTTCATTCAATAAAAGACATTCGTGTATTTACGCGTGTACATAATTTTGCTTTACAACGAAAAATTATGGAGATGGAACAACAAAAAATGTTATTACGTCGTCAAATCGATGTTTATGATCAAATACTTAATATACAAAATCAAATAAAACTTCAAGCAAAAAATATTTCAAAATTAATACAAAAAACAAAAAATGAACAAATTAAAATTAAATTAAAACAACAATATAAAATATTGAATATGCCTGATCAAAATATTGGTGAACAAATTATATCATTACATAATAATACATTTCGATTATTTATGAATCATAATAATGAACAACAAGGTATAGATAGAAGATATAAAAAAAACAAGGATATAATCTATTAAGGTTTGTTTTTTGCTGTTTAATTTTTAGCTCATCATTTATTGACTGCGTTACGAAAATATTTTAATCAATCTCTTAGTTCATCATTACCTTCTCTTTCATCATCATCCTTATCAAATGATTTAAGTTTTCTTTTTCCATTCAATTCTGACTTATCAATGTTAAAGAACAATAATAATCACGACTATTTAACACGTACAAAAACATTAAATAATTATCATAATAAATTTACACGTCAAAAAAATAATAGTTTCTATGAAAAAAACGAACCTGGTATCTATGCATTCTTTACTGGTAGTCAATACACAGCAAATACAGAATTACCTGTTCGGTCTATTGAACCAGCATATAGACATTGCTTTGATGAAGTCGTTCGAACATATATGGAAGACGTAAATAAAATTTCAAGAAATATGGGTCGATTTTTAGAATACAAAAAAACATTATATGGTTATTATAAATATCAACCAGGTCATGGAATGAATTTTATTTTAGATTTATTTCTTATCTACCGGAAATTTTCTGGTAAAAAAATGTCGGTAAGTTATTTTCATAAAAAAAAGAGCTGTTAGCATTATCTTCATGAGTCTAAAATGTGAAACACTATGTAGTTGCTGTTAGTGATTACAGAAAGATTATTTTATTCTATCTATTTTGAAATAGATTTCTTCACCATCTTTTGAATTTATTCTTCACATATACAGTAAGAAAATAGTTCATATATTATAGTGAGACGCCATTAATATTCAGTCTGTGATCTCGTATATCAACAACGTCCGTCGTAGTCTGTGATGTGGGAGGAAGGCGGGGGGGGGGAGCGGGGAGAATGTTGCTAAAGAGTTTCTATATACTTCAATACTTTTGTTACATCTTGTTTCACAACAATTCAAATGAAGTTAATCTTTAAAAGAACTTCAATGAAATTTTCATTATAAAATTTTATTTTTATTTAGGTACCCGTACGAAAACGTGTATATGTCGTGCAAAAATTTCGTCCTCTTTACTTTCGTGAATTATCATCAGCATATTCAAGTGCAATATTATCTTCTTCCGGAGCTGGTTCTCCTCATCATACTAATTTAACTACACCGGTGTTTAATAATATAAATAATACGATTATAACTTCATCTTCTACTCCTATACATATGATTGTACCTGTTAGTGGACGTCTTCCTACGCTTAAAAGATTGTTAAATAATTTCAATCATGTTGTTATTCGTACTAATGATACGGATCTTCTTAATATACATCTTTATGTTATTCTAATGGAAACAACTGAAGATAGTGGTGAGCGTATGTCAACAATAATTGATTATATTAAAAAATTTATTCATGATAATCACGCATCACGTATACATTTAATTCAAGTTAAAGATGGAAATTTTACACGAGGCTATGCACGTTCATATGGCGCATCTCGTTTTAATGATACAGATCTTTTATTTTTTATTGATCTTGATATGGTTTTTACTCGAGATTTATTTCCACGTATACGTCATCATACTATTTTTAATAAACAAGCCTATTTTCCAATTATATTTAGTCAATATGATCCACATTATTGGGAAATGCCACAATATGAATCAAATTTTTCATCATTTAAGTTACGTGATGATATTGGTTATTGGCGTCAATATGGTTTTGGTATGCTTGGTATTTATAAAGCAGATCTACGATCTAGTGGTAATTGGAATGTTGAAATAAGTGGATGGGGTAAAGAAGATGTTGAAATTTATGATAAATTAGTTCAATCACCAACTTTAAATGTTTTTCGAACAATTGATACCAGTTTAATGCATGTATTTCATACAAAAGAATGTTCACCAACATTACGTAATGATCAAATGAATATGTGTAAAGGAACTAAATCAATAACATTGGGATCACAACGGACATTAGTGAAACATGTTCTAAAATTGATTGAGCCCAATAAAATCTGATATATGTTGTTCTTGTTTTATTTCACAGATTTTATTGATTCATTCATGTCCTATCATATATTTATAATGAATACGTCAATCAGGGATAATACACTTAGTGATTATATTTATTGCTCTGAATGTCATAATATATTTGTATTTCGATCGAAATAAAATGAGTAGCACTATTTCATTTTACAGAATTATGATAGCTCAATATTCAACACAGTAACGATTAGCAAAGTTAAAAGATAATAGGTTTACCATAAATAATAGCGTCATGTGTATTTTGTATTTTTCTCGACTAACTTTAAGCTTAGAAACTTGTGCTTGTTCTCGACAGATTTGTTCTTCAATCTTTAACTATATTATAGACACTGAGTGTAATGGGCTATTATTTACACATTAAAAAGATTAGGTCAAAGGATCAATTTTTAGTGACCTTTTAACATAATGCCTGAATGTCTCAAAATTCTTAATTCATATTGAGGATTGTTTGCCAATGTTTGAAAACAAAAATGCTTTCCTTAGACAAGGAGCATATCGATGTGAAAATTCCATGATTATAGAAGAAAGATTGAGCTTTGTATGAACTAGAAAATGGCAATAAATTTCTTTGAACAGCCAAAGTTTCAACAAATAAAACGAAATCAACTGTTCTTTCTATAAGAAAGTCACACAGTATTACTTACGAGGGAACATATTTAGGTGTTCAAGCTGTTGAGATCCCATCTTTTGGCGATAGATAGATCTCGATGAGGTATGAAAAACCCCAAAAGGATAAGTGTCCTTAGGCCTTCTGCTCAGAGTTATAGGCATTTTACTGGAATTTCAGCCTCAGGGATGGTATATACCAACGAATCAAATGAAGGTATTTCTACTTCAGATTGTGCCCACATACAGGTGNGGAAAAAATTAAAAAAAGTTAACATTAAAACAAATAGAGTAATCATGATCACTTATCATATTTTGGCCTTCTTAATAAAGAAAAAGCACAATTCGTAGCAGAGATGTCCATCGCGGCGCTGCTGCGGTCGCGGTTGGTGGCGCGGTAGGCCGTTTAAAACCGCACCACGGCAGCGGCTATTTATTTTTTTGGTCACCGCAGCAGTTCCGTGGCATGAGCTTTTACAGAAATTCACTGTGTAATTTCTAGAAACAATTTTACCTTCAGAGCTTAAATTAAACTAGTCTTCCAAATAAATTAGACAAATTAAACTTTTTATCTTCTCTAAATCTTGCATTTTACGATGATTTTATTGTCTGGGAAATTGATGGAAGTTTTAAGCTTATGTAAGTTAATTAGGATGATAGTAGAAATGCACTGATTACAATTTGAAAGTGTTTATTGTATCGTCCTACGTCTAATAGATATTTTTAATATAATTTTAAGCTACATGCTTTGACCACTAAAGCCTGTTTCCATGCTTTTTCTTTATTAAGAAGGCCAAAATATGATAAGTGATCATGATTACTCTATTTGTTTTAATGTTAACTTTTTTTAATTTTTTCCAGATCTAGATCTAGCAAACTATTGCAAATTGAAAACGTAGAACAAGACTCTGTTAACACCTTGCATAGTAATGCATTTTATAATTATTTTTGTTTTTTAATTACACATCTTAAACCCTCTAATCATCATCAAAGTCACATGAATTTTCATTTCTCTTTGAATTGAAGCTATTACGTGAAAAATTAAAAAGCTGCCATTTCCTTCAGACTCTTTCATTGTTTCACAAAGAACTTAAATGCTTAGAAGTCATTTTTTACTATAGCAGTTAAACCGTTACTCCTCATTGATTTTAAGTGAAAACTAGACTGTATGACCACTGTAGACCGACAAATACCATTTTTTCTTCATGCAGTGATAGTAGCAGTATTGTAACTTTTTGTTAAAATTTCGCTGCGACAGCGGCAGATTTTCAGCCGCGATGGACATCTCTGGTATGTATCCAGGACGAACAAAAGCTCGTAATATCAAAATATATATCCACAAAAAAGATGATAGTGATAATGAAGAGTAGATAAAACACTAGATATTTTTTTGAAAGAAAATTACTTTTGAAATATTTTATGTAAACATTTTTGTGTAGAAAAATAAACTGTTTTTCACTTGTTTGAGTTTTTTGCACAAATTTATCAACAAGAGCAATAGCGAAGAAAATATTGGTCAACTGGATAACGAGATCCTTAAAAGTCTCAACTGAGACTATATTTTACTGCAAAAGCCGTTTCTCTTCAACTTTGGGAGACTTTCTCCTTTAACTATTCCCCTCCTCTAAGCAAAGCCAAACGAAAACTATGCTCTGGACCATAAGAGAGATCCTGGGTGTTAGTGTTAAAGGGGGTCATTTTTTGGCCTTTGTTGACGGTTTAGTTTTTCTATGACTCTTTCAAAGTGGGTGTTTGTCGGTGTTTTCGTGCATAACTCTCCAAGATGTGGGTGTTTGTAAGAGTGCCTTATATCCGATTTTACAAATGTGAGTGCTTGTGGTGTTAGCATAAATTAGTAATACACCAGAAATCATGAGAAATCACGGTAATGTTGATACGAAAAATGGCTGGAAGTAATTAGAAATGATAAGAAATCATTGAAAATCATAAATAATAAAATAAAATGTGAAATTCTGTTTTACTTTGATTTTCTTGGTATTCAACAATAGCCAATATGTCGAGTAATTAAACTTTATTTCTGATGATTTCTCATAGTTTCCCTAAATTTCTAGTAATATCCAATGATTCTTATTGAGTTTCAGTCCATTGATAAAATCAGATATTTGTGAGTAGAAATCATAAAATAAAAATATTGCTAATACATACTTTTTGATGACAAGATTATCACTGAAAAGATTTGAAGTTATTTTTAATGGATACTTACTCCTCAGTTTTTCTCAAACCGAATGTTTTTTTTAATGTGGTTTGAGATTAGCGATCTTGATTTTGAAACGTAATTAGAATATGATATGGAAGACAACAAACGATTATAAGCATTATCATGGTAGATAGGTAAATCTGGTAGACAATCATTCCTGAAAAATGTCTATCAAGTTTGTTGACAATAACTTGATTCCATTTATGAATATTTAAATCAATATTTCTACTATTGTTTTTATCGAATTCGTTTACTTAATTTAGTGCTTTAATTAATCATACATTTCAAATCTAGTTGAATGATAATAGATAATGTTCGGAAAAGTTATCATTAACTATTTTGTTGACCCTTTTATCATTAAAACTATGGTGAATTTGATTATTTTTTGTTTAGAAGAAATTGTTAAACTCTATGTACAGTTGAAATTCTTTGTAAATAAAGTTAATAAATTTTCTCGATCAGATTCATTGTTGCCTACATATTTATAGGTTGAAAATTGTTATTTTTACTCAGAACTATCATAAAATATATTACCGAGATAAGTATACTCTAGTCTTTTCGTTTTAAAGTTATTTCCATATATATTTATATATAGAACTAAAAGAAGTTGTCAATCTAATTCATCATGAGACTATTTATATCCATTTAACAATTTCTTCTCTAAATTAACAATATTTGTGTATGTACAGATGTAATAATACCAAGACACTATTATTAGTTCGCCAAAATAATCAAACTCGATAATGTCGAGAAATCAGTTAGAGATTCGGAGTCGTCGGCTTGAGAATTTCTGATCAAACTTTGACGAAAAATAATGATTTTCCCTAAAAAGTCTCTTCATGACGGAAAAACCAAAGATCAGTAATTGGTTTCTCCGAATATCCAAATTCGATTTTGTTTTTGTCAAAGAAAGTCTATGATAGACAAGCAACGATTTTTTGAAAATTTGATCAAAGGTAAATCCTCTCTCAGAATAGAAGACCATGTTTTTTTCTATATCTTTTTTTAGGAAACTCACCGGATCTTTGGAGACTATAGCACCTAACAACCGTCGTTATTTAATTAAACGTACTTTTTTTTCTAGGAAAAAGCCTCGTTTTTTGGCACTTAGTTGCTAATAACGTCCGTTTGAAAATCAGGAAAATTTTTCAAAAGCTCTTGATTTTCTGAATGGATACTAGTAAAAAAGCTGTTAGTGCAATATCTGCGAGACTAAAATGTGACAAACCATTCAGATGGTCTTGGCATTCGCAGGGAGATTGTTTTAATCTGTCTATTTTGCAGTACATTTCCAAATCATTGTTTTACTTATTCTTCCATAACTGGAAATGTCTTGCACAATCGGTGGCATAACCCCAGGGTGTCTGTCAAGATCTGTGAGCAGTAAGTGGGTAGTGATTTACTTTTCTCGCTGTACCCTTCAGCATTCCTTTCACTGATTATTCATTAATCAATGTGTCATTAATGAGTTACTAATGAGATATTAATGAACTGCTAATCATTGATTAATTAGTTACTTAAATAAAATGTCTGCCACGGTTTGTGAAGAGAGAAAAATAGGTCCAGAGTTCTACATTGTATACTTCAACGCTCCTTTTAAATCGTGTTTCACAAAACTAGCTCACAAGTAGAAGGCAAACTTTGCGAGAGTCATATGAATTTCCATAATAGAAGACCATGGCTTTTTATTCTGAGAAGGGTTTACTCAAGATCGAACAATCTGAATCTATAAGTGGTTTGTTGAAATTATTGAGTTAATTTTTTTTCTGGCGAACGAACAATATCAATTAGTATTGGTATTGTTACATTCCTATTAATATGACTTTTCAAAAACAGATATACAAAAAAAAAAGGATTAATAGTAGCAACCTAGTTTTTATTAAGCCAAACTGGGAATACAATGTACTTCGCCAGTAAGCGTAAGGAAAAAAAACGAAACAACATCAATTAAAAAAAGAAAATAAACGAATTTATCTTCGATAATAATGATTCGTCTGACCTAAGTACATTAACCAAGAACAGAGTTAGAGATAGAAGAAAATGTTGAGAGAAAAAAAACTATAAAAGAAAAACTATGACTGATTACAACCATCGATGTCCCATAAGTTTATCATGTAAATAATCATCAATTAATTTTTTTGTACCACTT